GTGGGACCCTGCAGTATCACAGACAGCCTGCGCGCAGCGACGCACAGCAGTCTCTCATCAGGAGGAGAATTTAGTCACTCACACAGAGTTGGACAGAGCTGTTTGATAATGAAGCTCTGAACATATATTTAATATAAAGTTAAAAGTGCAGGAGGAGATGACAAGCTGGGTTCCCACCTCCAAACACGTTTTGAGCAGCCAAAGCAGCCAGTTTTACATGCAAAGTCTGACCGCAACAGCCGCTGCTTCAACCAAACTTGCTCTCACTGAAAGTCCCGCCCTGCTCTGCTCTGATTGGATAAAACGACAGTGTCCATTTAATCCTTATATCAGGGTCTCGCTGTCGGCTTGGTGAGTACCGAACAACAATCCAGTCACACCAGTGCAGCTGGATTTTTTATTTTTATGTATTTATTTTAAATCAGGTCGCATTTGCAACCAAAGTGGTCGCACTCTAGAGCCCTGCTAGCTGTTGTTTTGACAGACAATCAGGTACAATCTTAGGTACGCAAATGCGCTTTATGACATTCCATCTGGTGCGCTTTTCCTTTTTTTGATCACACATGCGCACCTGCGAACTGCTTACGTGCCACTCTGTTATAACAGAGTTTTTCAAGCCTGGTGCTCAACACTGCCTTGCATGTTYTAGAGGTCTCCCTGCTTTGACACACCTGACTTTTAGTATTGATCAAATGCTTTTTTATACGATGACAAACATTTTCAAACTCAAGCAGCAATTAGGTGTGAGARGGTTTAAACTCCTCTGGGTTTATTATTAAAGAAAACAAGTCCATGTCCCCTGTCGCTGAGGGATTTGAATAATGAGTGTTTGTAGTTTTTGAGACGAGTGTTTTTCTGGACTGGAAATGAACAGGGAATACAMTAAAGCTCTGTTTTCTTATTTTAATGCATTTAAATTTGTAGGAATGATACAACAAGAAAATGTAGTGGTTTCAACACTGGGACCCAACACTGTTGAATACCTTGAGTTATTTGAACAATACAGATCTGATTCTAACCCTCTGGTTACTGGTGTCTAAAATAAAAAAGTTAATATGGAACCAATCAAACCAGTTTGACAAACATGTTTATCACTGATGTACACAAACTACATTTGTATTGTAAAAACTCACCTGTAAAATTGGTCCCATGTCATCATGGGGCAGCTCAGAGTCAGAGTCGTCCGAATGAAACATGTCATCTTCATCATCATCATCTTCACTTTGTTTCCTGCCTAGAAGTAAAATGTTAAGCTTATTAAAACAAAAAAAAAATATATATATATACATATATCTTAATTGTATTATTACACAGCTGTTATAGAATTAGACAAACTACTGTAATCAACATTTTAAGGTGGACCTCGATTTTAAAACAAATGTTTTAATTTTATAGCAACTATCAAAAATAATCCTGTAATGACAACTGCTTTATTTCCAAAACTTGGTCTTATTGTAAACTTGGTCTTATTGGGGTCTATTTTCAGAAAGCATAACATCACTTTCCATTGCTTTGCTGATGATATCCAGGTCTTTATGCCCATTAAGTTGAACAGGGACGCTCCATTGGAACCACTCTTCAGCTGTCTAAATAACATAAAAACCTGGCTAAAACTGAACTTTCTGAATCTAAATGAGAGTAAAACTGAAGTAATCATTTTTGGTAAAGTAAATYCWAATGACATTGGYCCTTTATTTTCATACAGCCATTCTACTGTCAGGAATCTGGGTTTTCTCTTTGACGGTGCCTTTAAATTGGATAAACAGATTAATTCAGTTGTAAAATCAAGTTTTTT